CAGAGGGAGAAGCAGACTCCCCGCTGAGCAGGGAGCCGAACGCAGGGCTCGATCCCGGGACTCCAGGATCATGACCTGAGCCGAAGGCAGTCGCTTAACCAACTGAGCCACCCAGGTGCCCTCTGCCTTCCTGTCTTAGCGCATGGGTCCCTCTGCCTGGAATTCCGCCCCCTCTGAATTCTCTCTCCTGCCAGCCATCCTTTAGGCACTCTGAGGGCAGGGCTCTGTGTATCTTGATCATAGTTGTGCTTGGCCTTGCCACATCAAAGCAGGAATGAATGCCATCCCTCCACAAAGCCAGTCCTCGTCTATATGGTGCAGTTCCCTGTGAGTACCTCTTGGATGGTCATTACCCCTTCTTGCCTCAAATCACAGTTATTTGTGTCCTCGTGTTTTATTACTTAACAAGCCACGAGTCTACTGAGAACAGTCCGGGTCTGTTCTGTTTCACGCCTCTCTGGAGCACCTAGCAGGGTGCCTTTCTCGAGAAGACTCGCCACAAGTATGTGCAGAAATTTTGGACACCTAATTTTACAGCTGTAAGGGATTTTAGAAAACGTGTTATTTAATATCCTGTGTGGCTAGGGAAACTGAAGTTTGGAGAGAAAAAGGAACTTGACAGAGGACATGGAATCAAAGCTAGACCCGATAGGAAATCTTCTGTCTCAAGGCCAGGGGTCACCACTTCTCGAGAGTGATCTGAGGTTGAAGAAATTTTAAAGATTGTGACTTCTGTAGTCATCAGGTAGCAAGTCTAATCTTTTTTAACTGTGATTTCTATGTTTTTTATTTTGTAGCAATTAAGCAGCCTTTTATGCCTTTCAAAGTCATAAGCCCTTCGAAGTATTTCATTTTATCCTTCCTTTTGGCATCTCCTAACAGGATGGCCCGTCTTCTAGGGAAAGCATATTCTCCCTGTGTTCCTCAGGAGAATATAAATTTGAATAAAAGAGAACTCAACTCTCAAGGACCTTACAGTCTAATAGGAGAAATATTTGTTGTTGCTATTTTATTTATTTAATTTTATTATTATTATTATTATTTTTTAAGATTTTTATTTATTTATTCATGAGAGACAGAGAGAGAGA